GACTCGGCTCCAGTGGCATTTATCATGCAGTAGTGTGACATCATTCTGTGTATTGTTCATAGGAGAAACTTTTAAATCAAACTTCAAGAGACAGAAGGACTACACCACAAAATTCAAGGCTGAAGTAGAGGATTTAGAAAACATTTACAGAATTGAGCAGTAGATTTCCTAACTGACCAGAGTTGAACACATTAGACAGTGTGTATTTCAAAAGCCCACCAAGGCTCCCATTAATAAAACAATTTTATTGTGATAAATTAGACCCCTAAATTGAAATAAATCCACAGGAATCTTCCCCTTTCCGTGTTTCTGTCTGAACCACCTTACTTGGTCCAACAAATTTCACTTTCAGTAAAATGGGGGAGAGAAATGGGCAGTCCTGATCATATTTCTTTCTCTTATAATGTAACACAGCTTCCTGGGTCACATTCCAAATAGCAGAGATGGTTCTGTAAGCTAACTGAGCCTGATACAACGTAACCAATCAGAGAACTGTTTTACGTTTTGCATATTTAGCCCCTAGATGGAAACAGGAGGGCAGCATCTGCCTCTCTGTCTATCTTTTTAGAAATTCCTATCTAAGGAACCAACGTCCACTCAAATATTCAGGGAGCAGAGCTATTCAGGGCGCCAGCTCTGTGGGGGTTCATGTGCCACAGGATAACTAGAGTGGTTGCCTTTGCCTTTGTCCACTACACAGTTTATAACACCAGCAGAAAACACACAAATCTGTCCTCTGAGCCACTGCTGACTTACCCGAAACATCAGGAACAAGACAAGGAAACTTCTAAGCTCTGCCCATAACACATTTCGCCCCCATCAATTTAGGCAGAAAACTATGCTTTCAGATGTATCTTACACTTCACAGAACCACACTGATAAAATTACTGACTAATATAGTAGATCGACCAAACCTAATATACGGGAAGATGAATTTAGTCTTTTTTGTGTCTTCAACCTCTGAGCTCAGGTCTGACTTAATATGATGCAGTTGGCACCCACTTTGGTTGTCCTACTGCTACGAGTTCATCCATATCACAGACTGTGCTGTAATGTATGATGTCTAATGATTTCTGTTTCAAAGCCAAAACCGCTTGTCCTCTAGTCAAGCTTTTCAGTGGAGGTAAAAGGGTAATTTGTAAAAGGGAAGTTCTTCATCTAATCTTTGTTACAGTTTTCTTGCCGATTTCTTTTTTGCACCGACATCCCAGGCAGCTTAAAGCCTTTGTTAACTTAACAACTCACACCCATAAATGAATGGGCCGATCATTCAGCCGTGAAGTAATGCAGGGTGGATGCGTTGCCAGTGCTATGACATGCATCAGAAACATAGCCAATGGTACTAAAGTCTGTCTAACTTTAACATGTGGCTGGATCGCTCCATTGTTTGAAAGTGTAGAGGAAGTTGATAGATTTCCCCTTTGTCTCCATTAATGTATAACAATGCAAGGTACAAATGTACTTTGTACGTGTATTTTTTTCAAGCCAGCACTCATAATACCCTTAAAAAAGTATGAATATCATGAAAGGCGAAGTGGAAGTGCCTGTCTTAAATAACGCCCATGTGACCTACTTCTATTACCCAGCTGACAGCACCTCATTCATAAAAGCTGGGAAAGACCCTGTAGTCCTTGGCCTAAGCACATTACATTTATCCTGCTCTATCTTCAACTGTTTCCTCTTGTTGCGTGAATGCCTGTTTAATGTACACCGCTCAGTCTGGTACGAAGCACGATGGAGGTCTTCTGTAATATTCCTTCCAAGGAAAAGCTGTCATGTTCAATGAAAAAAAACTACATTAATAAAGCACATAATTTCAGCTTTTACGTAGCGGTTCTCTGCCAAACGAACCTCCCTTTTTCCACGTTTTCCCCCAGGTCCTCACTGCTGCCCAGTCCGAACAATGTCAGTATTATGTTGGCTCCTGGGCAAAGAGGAGGGAGAGCTGAGGGCTTTGATACAAATAGCAAAAGGTAGCTAACGAAGAGATTGACGTTCCTTGTTGGTGTTCTCCATTGAAAGCAATCACAGAGACCGATTCACATGGATCACTTAAAATTCTGTAGGCGAGGCTAAGAATACACTGTTGATACTTGCTTATAATGAGGGCCCTACATTCTGGGTGTAATGATACTGTTTGGCTTTCTAATGGGTACACTTGAACTCTGACCCTTCACTCGCTCAACAGGGATGAGGAAGTTATTTCCATTTAAATGGATGTAAATGTGTCTCGCTTGAGATGTCCATGCTAACAAGTAAACATCTAGAGTTTGCTCCCATTGATAGAATTCATTAGAAAGCATCACATGTGTTTGGTAGCTTCAAAACATCTGCCACGCAGTTATACACAAAAAACCATCTAGGAAATGGAGCAATTAAAAGCACTTAATAGTTTGGGGACAAACCAAATCCACCTTGAGCTCTGTTTGTCAAACACACACACAAGTTGTTTGCATCAGTGTAATTGCAAGACTTGGTCATTGTTATTGTTGCTATGACCCTGTGCTTTGTAAGAAACTGTGCAGTGTAATGCAGTTATATTTCTGCTCTGCGTTTGAAAGATGATAGGAGTGGCTTGGTTGTCATGCCAGAGTTTTCAAAGGACTCTTTGTGTAGAAGCGTCGGCCATCGCCAGAGACATCCTCCTGGTATTTATTCTAGAGTTCCTCCAGATGCTGCAAATTGTATCAAATTGGGCCACATTAAGGCCCACTTTTGTAACATGGCTATATAGCTGCTCCACAGATCTTCAGTGATTCCCAACCAGGGGTACTTGTGCCCCCCGGGGGGTACTTCTGCAGTTGCCAGGGGCTACGTGAAAGATTGTCGAACTGCTCACCTAACAAATTTAAAAATACATCCACATAGTAAATCAGCTTTACCGCCTGAACAGTATGTGCTGTGTTTGAATGAGCAGAGAGGTCTAATCTGTTAGCTTAGCGATGGTAATGAATAAACATTGAAAATAACTAAAAGTATAAAGCCCTGGAAGTAATTGGCTAAAAGCAGTAGTTAGCTAAGTAGTTAGCTTAAAGTAATGGATAAAGGGTAAAAATAGGAGCCTAATTATAGATTAAAAGTGGAAAAAGTTAGCTAGCTAAAAGTAATAGCTTGAAATAGCTATAGGCAGTGAAGTAGCTAGCTAAAAGTAATGGATAAATGGTGAAAAATCAATGCATAACTTAATTATGGACTAACAAAATTGTCAGCTACAAGTTATTAATAAAGAGTTCATATATAATTATATAAATAATGGAAATAGATAGGCTAGCTACAGGTAAAAGGTAAGCAGGGTAGTTAGCTGAAAAGAATACAGACAATAAATTGTTGAAATACTAAGACGTAATAGATAAATTGTTGAAATACACTCAGTTGTCAGTTTATTAAGTAAACCTAGTTAAAACTTATACAATCTAATACAACAGCCACCCATTTTGGCGGCTGTGGTTTGTGGTGTTTTATAACAGTATCATACAGACTCATTGATATAAATGGGGTGGAAATAAAATAATACAGACACTTTTCTCTTATATGAAGATAGTGTCGCTAGTTAAAACAAAATTGGTAAATAATTAAAATGTCCAGTTTCTGCCACTCCAAATAGTAGTAGTAAACATGCTAACTTGACCACATTGGCAGAACTGGGTGAAATTATTATTGTAACAATATCCACTTTTATCCAATTAATAGTTAACAAGCAGTTAAAATCAATTCAAGAGAACACATTTTGAAACATGACAGGTGGTAGTAGTGCATCTGCCAAAAAAAGGTTGGCAGCCACTGCTCTACATACATACAGCATGAGGCTTTTAACATGAGACAGATTAAGACATTGATTGGGACCATAGAACAGCAACAGCTGAGCTGCAGCCAGCTGCTCCCTCCCTCGCTCAGGTCACTGAGCACTCATAGATTTGTCTGTGCATGCCCTCGTCACCTTCAAGGATGTTGGGGTCAACTGGCCATGATCTATGACATCGACACCAGCCAGGCAACATGCCTCGGGGTGGAGTGAGACCGTTGGACAGTCATAAGACAAATGCAGCCTCCTCCTCTAATTAGATTTCTCATGGGTTGCAAGATGAGATGTAATCAGCTGTGGCGCTCAGCCCAAGTCCACACAGACATGATGTTTCCTTGGAGATTCGAAAAGAGGACACCTCTGTCTATTCAGTGTTTAATTCAGGAACTTAAAAAAAGTTTTCCTGGTAAAAACTCCCTTTTGAGAGGTTTGTATATCTTTGCTATGGTGGGAAGGAGAATGAATGGGCAGACTACTGGTCTTCCTCTCCGCTACTGTGTGTTTTGGATGGCAGTCCTGTGAGTGGTAATGGTGCTCAGGGACCACTCATGAGGGAGACAGGCGTGCATCTTTGTGGGTTGAATGAGAGGAGGGAGCCAACTCTCTTTGGGTTGTTTAAGATCTTATGGGAGAAGAGAAATGTGTTGTTTCCAGACAGTCAGAGGGAAAGTGATGATGCAGCATGGATGAGAGGGGGAGATGAATGGGATGTGTTACATAACCTGACCAGTTTTCCAAGATTTCAGACTGAGTTTCAACAGTGAGCTTCCCATACCTTTTACTACTGGATCAAAGCACGTCTTTAAACCTACAAATTGCCAGGATTCAAGTTTTAGATGTATAACAATTTGCAGAATTTTAAATTGAAATGAAAGCGCCTCACACGCCGCTGTGGAACTGTAATAAGATGAAATAATAAGTCTACACTCAATGAATTCAAATCATCATAAAAGAGACTGCTTTAACTTAAACAATCCACCAATCAGTGGCTGTGGAGTCTTAAAGAAAAAACATCTGGTTTCCATTTTTTTTATGATATTGTAGTAGCCTGTCAAATCAAATTCAAATCGAAGTTAACTATTAACGCAGCTGCATTCATGGCCATTACAATACTCTTGTTCAAAGGAATCACAGAAAAAGACTCACAGAAACATGATGTAACTTGGCAGAGAAAGCGCGTGTGGGCACATGGACCGAGCGGTGCCGTGTGTGAAGCAACAATGCAGCCGACAAGGGGGAGTTTCTTCTTGCAATGCGCATGCAATCCCTTCAAAAATTCCCGGTGACTTCAGATCCAAGGAGGTGGTGATATTCATAGGAGCACGATTCAAACTCTCTCACTTGGAGTAGGAGACCAGCTTCAGCAGCCCTGGAGCCAGCGCGCTGCTCTCTTTACTCCTCTTTTCTTGTTTAACATAAACTAAAACAGATGGATTAATGTTTGCTTAAAATAACACGTTTTTTTTGTATGTCAGCGCTGGAAGGAGAAACGCTTAGAGTTTCTCACTTTGGACTGAAGTTAGGTGCTGATTTGACAACCTGAAGACATTCTGCGTAATAAGTCTTACCTGGGCATTATGAAGAGGTATCCAGGCTTTTTTCATTCTTGGGAGAGGATGCCTTCTTGCTGAACTCTTGTCCTAATCGCGGATTTTTTTTGATTTTTTTTCATTTGCTAATATTTTAGTGGCTCTCGATTAAAGTGTAACGCGATCTGCCCTTTTACGCGGTAGTTTCAAAACTTTGCATGCCCAAAATGGACCGTGCAGGATTTGCTCTTTTAATGGTTTTGACTGTTGCACTGGTGCGAATTGGTGACAGCCAAAAGGACACAACAGGTGGGAGGAAAGAGGGTGCAGGGGCAGCCCGGGCGGACTGGGACCAGCAGCAGCAGCAGCAGTCCCGGGTGAGGAGTCAAGGTCACTCGCCACGGGGACCAGAGGACGGCGCATCCTCCAGACGCTCCGGTGAAACTTCTCCTGCTTCCAGCCACTCAAAGACTCCGGTCCGCCTGCCCAGGGGCACATCATCCCAAGGGCATATATCCATAGCAGGACCGGTTAATGCTGCAGGCGCCTCCAGGGAAGACCTCATCTCTGCGCCGCGGGATGGTGCGTTGCGCACCGCCAGGCACCCGTCAGGCCAGCAGCACAGAACCAAAGTGAACCGCAGGCAGAGCAGCAAGCCCAGCTCTGCCAGCACAAGGAGACTTGTTGGGTAAGAATGAAAGCCACGTGCTCTACAGTCTACTATAAAATGTTCTACTTTGCCTTTTCAAGCTGTTCAAGCCATTCACATTCACGCTATGAGCAGTACTTTTTAAGGAATTTGTGTGACCTATTTTACTGTACTTGAGTCCATGGTTTACTGTAAAGTGGTGGTGGCCCACTTAAGCAGAACCTCTCTTCCTGTAAGGAAAACCAAGAGATGATGTAACATAACAACCCACAGAAAATGACTACAAAGCGTTGCACCATATCAATACTTGGATATAGTGCATGGAACTGTCCTCCAGGAGGTGAAAGAGCTGTACTCTAACTAATTCTGAATTCCTGTAATATGTGTTTTGTCATCAGGGTCATGGCAGGACATGGAATAATAGCTGAAGTTAAACACTGTGCTGATTACTGGGCTGATAGTGGAAGGTTATATAATGAACAGCAAATGTATATGAATGGATGAACTGCATGTGAACTGCTTTGAGACTAATGCAACACAACATTATCACCATTTCCTCCCATTACTATACATATCGGTATATTTAAATCGTAGTAGGAGAGAGGCTGCAGACTACTTGAATGTGTGTTACCCTGTTTTGTGCTGTTGCCTGGGGCCATATATTGTAGTGCCTCAACCGGAGCCTTGGCGGGTTTGGCAACATTTGCAATTTTGCTTAGTGATCAGAAACACCTGTTTCTCCGATGGTCCTCTCTCAGTGTTGCAAATCCAAGTTTGCAGTGTTTTTTTGTCTCTGTTGAACTCCAAACAGGACGATGGGTTGTTTACATATTAAAGCCCCTTTCTTTTTGTTAAATGAACCCTCGTGCATCCATTCCTGTTTGTTCCATAGGGACAAAGCATGATACACACAGGAGGGGGGAGTGTTTACATAATAATCAGAGGGGGATTTGAATGGTTCACCTTGGGTTGCAGACACTGAAATATAAAAGAAAATATCTCTTTTGTGTGTCACGACAGAGCCTATTGCCTTTGGGAAATGGATTATTTGAGTGGCCAATTTATGGCGAACGCTTCACAGGCAATAGGAGGATTCAGCCAATTGGTTCACCATCTGTAGGCATACATATAATGTGTACACACATGCCTTAAACAATGATAAAAAGAGGAAAAGGACTAATTGACTATACAAAAGTTCATGCCCAGCGTCTACTCCCCTTGCCCACCTGCTAGCTATTGATACTTTCTCCTGTTGACATGGCTTTGTGGTGCAGGACCCTGAAAACTAACTCTCACCATTTAACACCAAGATAAATGATGGACAGAGATGTTTTCCAGTACTTATATCTGCACGTTACCGACTCTGTCCTACGAATAAATGTGTTATTGTTCACCATTAACATGCCCTGATCCATCACACTTTAAAAACACATTTCTCAACATATCCATCAGCCAGGCAGTCGCACTTATGCGTGGTTGAACTGAGGTGGTGTCTATTTAAAGCAGTGCTTAAAGAAAATAGCTGCCTGTAGCATTAGATCCAACATGCTTTATTGCGGCGCAGTGTGAATGCCTTGCTTGACACTGCCAAAAAAACATATTCCAGTGTTGAATGAATGGGGTTCTTTGAGTTTTAAAAGAGGCATAAAGGTGGTGTTACGTAACTCTGTGGGAACATTACCTTAAAGTAGTGTGCACAGTGATTTTAACACTTTGATTCATTAGCTTGAGATGAATCATACACTGCTTGTTAGAGAAAGTGTTTTCATGACACATTTCCTCTTGGAGTTCCCACTGAGCTTACTCTTTTACTGTACCCCGCGGCAATGGCAGTGCTGGGTTCACTTAAGTCTCCTTTACATTCGTGTTGACTCACTATGACTCCCCTTCTGTATTCACTGCACCTGTCAGACGTTTGACTGATCCAGATAGCTCAGTGGTGAAATAATACTCCACTGCCTCATGTTTGGGGTTTTAAATAAAAATATAAGTAGGTGTGAACATGGTGTTATCTATATTTTAACCTGGGGCATAATCCTAATTATGTTGTATAGAGTTCTCCATTACATACATATATCCCTTGATGGAATTTCAATGTGATGACTGATGTCTTTGGCACGGGCCTGGCCTGATGTGTTTGATTTATGACAAAGCTAAGCCTGCCAGAGGGCCCAAAGAACTGCATGCTATCCCTGTGACACCTCAGTAACGCTTGCAGTACCTAATGAGAGCAATCCAAGTGAGGTCAATGAGTCAATTCCCGTTATCTTCTCAAATAACCATGAGTCATACATCCACTTACTGTAATATTTTGTGAAAAGATGATGGGGCAGAGATCCATGCCAGCGTGTTGACTGTTGACCTGAAGTTGTTCTTGCGGTCTGGTGCCTTTTCATCTATCTCACTGCAAAAAATTGGCCTGCGCTGCAAGTGCGGATTAAAGAGTGCAAAGAAACCAGTTATAACTGTTTAAAACTTGTCATCTCTCATTTGCTCAGTGATTTATAGAAAGATGCAGGGTGCTTTTCATGTCCCGTGTGTCTCGCGTAATCCTCTCAAGGCTCAGATAACTGTATTTGTTTTCACTCTCACATAACAAAAAGAGGGACTTGTGGGTCCACATTCAGTTCGAGTTTCAAGACTTGCCCTGAAATTTTTATCAAATAAAATGCAATTATGACGTAATCTCTAAGGTGTTCATATCAATAGGAAAGCCACATCAGAATGATCTGAAACTTAAGCGGCGTTCGAAATCAGATAATTTTGTCATGCAAAGGGCTGTCCACCTTCACTGTTATTGCTCTATGGATTATGAAGAGGCCCTCTATATTAATGTATGTTTTAAACAGTATTATCAATGTCTCATTTCGCCCTGGTGTCTCTACATGTCTTCCTTTGTTCAGGCCTAATGTCTGTGGAGGTCAGCAGTGCTGCTCAGGCTGGGCTTTGGCACCAGGAACCAATCGTTGCATAAAACGTGAGTAAAAAACACAATTGTCCTATATGCATTTTAAATATATGTAATGTAATGCTTTCATTCAGCTACTAAAGTCAATAATTTTATTCTTTGCAAGCTAAAGCCATACATGTTTGTGAAGCCTTGAAGCACAAGCACACTGACATGCGTTATGTATATTGGAGCTAGTAAACTTCGCAGACAGAGAGTCTTTACAATCTTATGCACACAGACTGAAAAATAACATAGTAAATGGCTACTAATGACTATTCTGTCAAATGGAATTGCCCAATGAAAGTTTTCCTAGGGTGTTATTGCCCCCATGGTCATGTTCATCGTATGGTGTGTGCCTTTTCTTTTCATGCAAGATCCTCGCATGGAAATTACCACCACTTAGCACTTGGCTCTCTTTTTGACACAAGCCCTTAATTATGGGTGGAACTGTTTCTCCTTTTATTTGACCACGGCCGTAATGGATATCCTAACTGCCAGATAATTAAAAGATAAATAGAAGACACCGGCTGTGAATGAATAAACGGCCACTTCTTTAAACTCAATACTGACAAAAAAATAGTTACAACATTGATGTTCTTGTCTTTAACTTGTATGCAGACTGTGCAAAACTAGGCTGCTATGTCCAAGTCTAATCATTATCCTGTTCATGTTAAGGGGCCCAGTTCTATACAGAAATGGTCACCAGATTTACTCTTTGCATGTCTTGTTTCAATTTCACGTTTATAACCTCCATTGTTTGCTGCAGACTCAAATAACAGGTTGCAATAGGAGCTTTTTTAGAGAGTTATCTTTAAATTTTACGAGTGAAGTAAAACCCACACGGCAGCTGGCATTTATTCACTAACACACTTGTCTTTTGCTTTTTCTGTCTCTCATTCTATCTATCTATCTATCTATCTATCTATCTATCTATCTATCTATCTATCTATCTATCTATCTATCTATCTATCTATCTATCTATCTAGCAGCTAGCTGTACTTATTTTTGTCTTGTTTACTGTTTTTCCTGTTTGCCCTGTGCTAATTATCTCCCTCACACACACACACACACACACACACACACACACACACACACACACACACACACACACACACACACGCACGCATAGTTAACACACATTTCAGCCAGTCGATTATACAACAAGCTGATTGGCCCCAGCAGCCTCCTAATTAGATCTCCTTCCCTCCTGCCCGGTGCAAAGCCTCCTTCCATTTTTTTCTCAAGTCCCAGCTAAAGGCACACTTACCAAGGTGTAAATTACATCTAACATGGAGCTGCCGTTACCCAAATTAAAAGGGTAAATACTTTTAATCTGCCAGAAAGTAACAGGTCCAGTCTAACGCGCCTGTGTTAAACAAGGCGGTGTATCTGAGCAGGCCAGGGGTCTGTCCAACCATCTGGACCCTCTTACAGCTTGGCCCTCACCCAGGTCTGACTGGAGGCTATGCTATCATCAGCTGAGTGAAGCCCCACGGCCGGCAAGGTGCCAACACAAAGGCCCCAGACTGGATCTGGGACTGGAAGCCCCCACGTAGAAGACCTCCGTGGAGGAAAACAGGCTCAGGCTATCTTTATTCTATCCCTGCCTGAGACCCAGGCATGAGAAAACATGTTCACAGTGGGGGAAAGAAAAGGAACAAACCTGTCGAGTAGGAGCATAAGTAAAAACATATCGCGGCCGAGTTGTCTAGGAAATTCTCGCTGAAGGGATTGAAGTAATGTCTAATATTAAAAGTGTCAGCTGCAGGCTTCACCCGTGAGGCTGGATTGGGTGTCTAGAGTTATGGGTTCCTAACAATACCTCCTTGTTCAATTGGGTTGAGCTCAGAGCAAATATATGACAGGAATTGAATCACTAGTTGTCCTAGGAGTGCGCCTACGTGTCTTTGGAAATATGTTTATAAAATGGTCTACGTCTGGGTCTCCATTGGTCCGGTTGGACATTGTTGTCTGGAGACTCGGCCCTACCCATGTCCTGGCAGGTTTGGTGCTGACTGTCTCTGTTTCCGTCTTCAGGATGGATGGTTAGCAGACTTGGTTGTGTATTAAAGCAAATTCCATGTGCTGAAAATAGCCAGTGTTGTGTGATAGAAAGCTTTGATCCATTAAGTAAAACAGAACATTGCCTTTCCACGGCTGTGTCATGTTTATTTCTCTTGTGGTTAAGTTAACCGCTGTAATTAGAGATAAATCTTCATAGGTTTTTATGACTGAGGTTTTACCTAAGTAATATTAGTTATTAATGGTGGCCAAGAACCAAAGGTGTGTGTGTGTGTGTTGTGTTTGGATGGTAAAGTGAGGCCAGGTGTAAGCTTCGCTGCACTTCCATCTGTTTACTTGTAAGCAGGATCGAAGCTCCCGTGGAGATGAATGGAGCCTCTTGTTTTTAGGTCAGCACTTATACTTGTTCCCCACTGGGCTGCGATTCACATCTGTTCATCAAAAAGCATTGTTGCTAAGATAAAGAGCAAGGAGAGGCCCTGTTGTAGCCTCGCCCAGTCACAGCCCAGCAGCAGTCCTGTCTACAAGACTCATACAAGTCTGTCTGTCAGCAGCATTACTGTAACACTGCCTTGACACAAAAAATGTATGAAATGTTTGTGCAGAAGGTGCAGTGCATTCAGCCTTAACGCAAATCTCCATAGATATCTTCTGCTGGTTTTTATGTAATCTCATACCGCTTCACAACGCTTCACCAACAGATCAACAACATCATTTGTAAAATACACCAGTGATAGTAAGGCGTGGGAATGTTACAAAAAAGGTAAAACAGCAAGTTGGTTCAGTAAAATTTGTACCATCAGTTTGTATTGGGAACTGCCACAGTAATCTGTTTACAAAATAGTAAGCTACTTAGCTGTGGAATTAGGATGAAAGTTTGAATTGCTGGCAAGTTTTAGGATAAATAGAGTAACCCTCAATCAGATGCATTGTAATCAGTGTAGAATTACTGTTTTAAAGTTTTGGTTTACAACATTTCGTTTAAAAAACAATTAAAAAAAGAACTCTTAAACCCAGTGTTACCGGAGAATAGATGTGAATTTTATCTGTACTTTGTATCTGCTTTCACAGGCTTCCTTCTTATCTTTCCACCTTTGAATGTGGTCTTTGCTCATACCTGGCTGTAAATGAGTTCTTTGATAGGCTTCTGGGAAGTAGGGGTGGAACGGTTCATAAAATTCATGGTATCACAGGACAGAGGGATTTCCAATTTCAACATACAAAAAAACAAAATGTGTTTAGTGCAATATAAAACTTAGAAGATTAACTGAGTTATTGGCACAAGTTATGCAATTCATCCTGAGGGGGGCAAGAAGGTCTGTACCAAATTTGATAGAAATCCATTCAATAGCCGTTTCACTAAAAACCACAAATGTCAACCTCATGGAGGTTCTAGAGGAAAAGTCAGCGCATCACCAAACTTTTATAGCAATTTATTCAATAGTTGTTGAGATATTTCAGCGCGGAACAAAGTAGTCGAGAAACCAGCCGACAGACCGAACACACTGACGTTGCCATACATACTCTCATGTTGCAGGCACGGCTGAAAAGGAATGCTAGTGTTGGCGTATAGCTCATACTGACAGGGTCACTATGCATCAGAGTTATGTTGTGTTGCCCCGGCTTCTCCAGTTGACATGGCTGTTTTAGTAATTGGATTAATGGCATGGACTACCACACACAGAGTTAATGTATGGGACAAAATAGAATACTTCAGACCGGGGAACACTGAGAAAAGACTCCCCACTGCACAGACAGGAACTGGCTTTACATTTAACCTGAGCTCATAGTGCTCCCTATAGTGCAGGCTTTTAGATTCTGCTGCAGAATTCATTTCACCACACTATAGATCACAATATTTTGGCGAAAGCTTGCGGTACATATGGCAACATGCTGCAAGTATAGCCAACAGTGAGAGCATGACCCTCCAAAGAAAGCACACAGATGGCCCATGATTTAAACCTGGTGCTGTCTTAGAGAGTGCAGATGAAAGGTGCATCATTCACGTGGAGGAATAAAGTTGTTTTCAGTCTCTTAAGCAGTTGGTGATTGACAGAGTGAAACGCGGTAGAGAGGAGTTTCTTTTTGATTGCCTTCCAGCTTTCTTTGGCCTGCTGTGCCGCTCAGGGCCCCATCCCAACCCTAAAATAAACTCTTCATGCAGAAAGTCTCTCTCTCTTACTCTATTGCTTACCTCTCCCATCACAAGGTAACTCCCTATCTTACCAAAAACAAAATACGGCATGTAGCATGTTTACCTAGTTCTGTAACGCCCCCTGTGTAGTTTGAATAGAATTAAAGCCCTCCAGTGTTGAGAGAGCTGTGTAAGGGCTCAACTCAGCTGTTCACCATGACATCATCACCATCACAATGTGGGTTTTATGTGAATGAATAAATGACATACTAGTATATTCATAACAGAAGTATAAAATTCATTTTTTTACACTTTTTATACTATCATTTATCACAATTCCTTATGTGCAAAATGCATTATAAGGTACTATTAAAGCAATTTATGCAAAATGAGACCTTCCACGATTTTTCTCGATTGTGGACTAATTTCTGTGTGAAAGACTCTGGAACGTTTTGACGAGAAAATCCAAAAGGTATGAACTTTATGCACACTCTCGATTGCTTTGCCTTTACTCTCCCACTGAGTACTAGCCAATCAGAGCTACGAGTATGGCGTGTCATGAGTTTGCCACCCAGGAAGTGAAAGACGTTTTTTAAGCTTTGAAATGGAGTTCACTAACATTAACGTCAAGTTTTATCTAGCGAAGCCCATCTGCCTTATATCTCCAACCTACTTTAGATGAAACCACGACCAGCATATGACAGCTACAGTAACTTAGCTTGGACAATACTGATATAGGTAACTTTTGATGAATATACTGTTAACAGAAAAAGCCCGACCTCCCTCTCAGAGTCCTGGTCAGAGCTACTGTGAATCAGGCACTGTATTGCCTGTAATCCGACTGGCCTTGGTCGGTCTCAAAGACTGTCTT